AGGTCCAAATAATATAAATAGTGTACATAATACCTCATCTCAGAAATATAGACAGATAATTATCCACACAAACTAATATGTAATAAAGAATTTAAATCACTAGTCAAATACTGTATTTAAAAAAAAAATATTGACATAGATATTAAATATCTTCTATATATAAAATTCTGTGACTGCTGTTAGTCTATCCACCCATCCATCACACCCTCTAAAATAGCCATACATTGACTGATTGAAACCAAATTTGGGGGAGAAGTGCAAACAGGTAATGGGGGGGTCTACAAAGTACAGCTGGTTTTACCCAAGTGTGTAACTTAGTACAATAAATTTTCATTAAGTTTTGGGGAAGGCTTAAAAGTTTTATTATTTAACATACAAAATACTCCCTCTATTTTAAAAACAGTTTAATGGTTAAAATAACAAATACTTATTCAGCAAAAATGCAATATTGTTTTTTGCATACCTTTTCTTTAAGTTTTTATATACATGAATCTAGTTTCCAGTTCACCTTGCGTTTGCAAGAAATATGAATAAATCACAAGGCCATGTGATCAAAAAGTTGGAATTTGGCTCCAGAAAGAAATATTTATGCACAGCCAGTTGTATGTTGCATACTCAAGAGTAAGAAATCATAAGAATTTATTCTTCTCTGTTAAAAAGGAAAAAAAGAAATTTTCTCAAAAAATATTGTTTAACAGGAAGTGCTATAAAATTAAATTAAGAAATTATTAAACTTTTAATTTTTTCAAAGTATTTTTCCAAACAAATCAACTTATTCAAATTTCATCGATTGGTTTGCAAAATTGAACGAAATGTAGGTTTTTTAAATCTCAAAAAAAATGTTAGTGATAACTTCAACAATACAAAATACTGTAAGGATTTTAACACACATCAAAAAATTGTAATAATTTAAAAGGTAGAATATTTTTTGATTTGTAGTGTTTATGAAGAAAAAATATTAAATATATTTACAATTCTAATTCCTCTTTTTCCATCCATTTATGCAGGCTTGTTATAGAGGTTACTCAATGCTTTCCTCTGATCCACTTGCTTTCACTATGTCCTGTGAATAAAAAATTCACCATGTCATTATATGTCCAAGAAATTTCAACTTTTTGTTAATTCTAAATATGAGTGTCCTTTTGTTCCCATTTTCCTTAAAACTTCCTCATTGCTCACATGTACCATTCATGTTATTCTCAGCATCCTTCTGAAGAACGAAATCTCTTTTGCTTCAAGTCTTCTCTTCATCTTTGAGGAAACTGTCCAGCATTCACTTTTATGTAGAATGATTGATATTACATACTAATTCAACACTAATGAGATTTTCTTGTTTCTTAATACTGTTTAGTTTTAGGAAAGCATGTTTACTAAACCAAAAAGGTAATAATGGTTAAAATTGCTACATCTAAAGTAAAAAATCAAGAAAAAGTTAAGCTTGGCATAAAGTCAAATTTTTCAAATAGGGGAGGGTCTACCTACCTTTTTTCTTTCTTTCTTTCTTTCTTTCTTTCTTTCTTTCTTTCTTTCTTTCTTTCGTTTCATTTCTTTCTTTCTTTTCATTTCTTTCTTTCTTTCTTTCTTTCTTACTCTGCATATTGAGTCTTTCTTTCTTTCTTTCTTTCTTTCTTTCTTTCTTTCTTTCTTTCTTTCTTTCTTTTCATTTGTTTGTTTGTTTGTTTCTTTGTTTCTTTCTTACCCTGCATACTGAGTCTTTCTTTCTTTCTTTTCATTTGTTTGTTTGTTTGTTTGTTTGTTTGATTGTTTGTTTCTTTCTTTCTTTCTTTCCCTGCATACTGAGTCTTTCTTTCTTTCTTTCTTTTTTTTTCTTTCTTTCTTTTCATTCGTTTGTTTGTTTGTTTCTTTCTTTCTTTCTTACCCTGCATACTCAGTCTTTCTTTCTTTCTTTCTTTCTTTCTTTCTTTCTTTCTTTCTTTTCATTTGTTTGTTTGTTTGTTCCCCTGCATAATGAGTCTTTCTTTCTTTCTTTCTTTCTTTCTTTCTTTCTTTCTTTCTTTCTTTCTTTTCATTTGTTTGTTTGTTTGTTTGTTTGTTTCTTTCTTTCTTTCTTTGCATTTGTTTGTTTGTTTGTTTGTTTGTTTGTCTGTTTCTTTCTTTCTTTCTTTCTTTCTTTTCATTTGTTTGTTTGTTTGTTTGTTTCCTTTTTCTTTCTTCCCCTGCATACTGAGTCTTTCTTTCTTTCTTTTTTCTTTTTTTCTTTTCATTTGTTTGTTTGTTTGTTTGTTTGTTTGTTTCTTTCTTTCTTTCTTTCTTACCCTGCATACTGAGTCTTTCTTTCTTTCTGTCTTTCTTTCTTTCTTTCTTTCTTTCTTTGTTTCTTTCTTTGTTTCTTTCTTTCTTTCCTACCCTGCATACTCATTCTTTCATTCTTTCTTACCCTGCATATGTTGTCTTTCTTTCTTTCTTAACCTGCATACTCAGTCTTTCTTTCTTTCTTTCTTTCTTTCTTTCTTTCTTTCTTTCTTTCTTTCTTTCATAACCTGCATACTCAGTCTTTCTTTCTTTCTTTCTCCTTCATATTCCATTTTCCAATGTTTCATATTGTGTGTTCTTTGTCTTTGTTTACATCTATTTATTTATTGTTTTTTCCATGTTATCTATCTTTCTTTCCCACTTTCTCTGTAGTCTCCTCTTCCCACTGATCCCTGTCACTTTTTCCGTCCCCCAAGAGAAGACAGCCTCTGCTACTTTTGGAATACCCTTAACCCCAGTTCTCCATAATTTGTCATCCACTTATCCTCAACTGACCACCCTTTCCTAACACAGCAAAAGATTACCTCACCCAAAACATCTAATTGTCAGAGAACGCAGTACATATCAACTTGGACAAATGCCAATGTTGGAAAGACACAAATTTAATCAATTACTCACAATTCCCAACAAAGTTTTTAATCAAATGGAAACTCCCCACAAACTGCTTAATCGTTTTCAGTTTTTTTGTTTGTTTATGATTTTTATTTTAATTATTATTATCATCATCATCATTACCATTATTATTATTATTATTATTATTATTATTATTATTATTATTTCTACACTTGTCTGAAAAGTAAAAATTCACATCATAATTTGCCAAAGTTGGCTTATTAACCTTTTCATTTGCATAATTAACACTAAAGAAAAGTAATTAGAGTAAGTGTCTCTTTGGGAAATGTCTAAGACCTATTCTGGCAATTTTATATTATTTCTCGTTCCTTTTTGCTTTAATGAATCCTAGATGAAGGGCAATAGATGAGCTTTCATTTTTAACTTAACAAATATCTGGGAAAAGAGATTAAAGGTGCCTGAGCCTTGGTGGTGTGGTGCAATCCTGTGAGGGCCTTTAAATTGGATAGTAAAAAATACAGTCAACTATTTGTTTTAATTACTGATGCTTATACTCTTTAACCAAGATTAATATACCTTTACACATACGCAATCGATCATTATGTCTCGCATTGCCGAATAAAGAAATTGTGAATATTTTCATTAAAAGGCAAAACTTTTGGCAGTTCATTCTTGATTTTTCTCTTTCACACATTTTTCTTTTAATCTCTTTACAGTTTTTGTTCACAGGATTTTGCTGTCCAGATATAAATCTCATTTCAAAAAGGCAATGGATAAGTAGGTTATCTCTTTCAATCAAAACTTCTTATCCATCATTTTCAAAATCCAAAGTAATAGCCACTATTAGAGACCATTTAAAGAATCAATTAATAAGTATAACACAATACAGTTTAGTGCCATTAAGCTGCACACCTATAAACCATGATGTCGCTTAAGCTGCACATGTGCGATGGACACCAAAATTTTTTGCCATGTTCATATTAGAATCATAATCATTATTGGATCCCAATTTGAAACAAATTCAAAATTATTTTATCAATTATTTTTTTAATTTTTTTTATTAAGACATTACATTATAATGTATTGTAATGTTTTTATTCAAAATCTTAATAAAACCATAAAAAAATGAATTTTTTTTTTTTGTTAAGATGTTACAATCACGTGCATATGCCATCTTTTACTGTCATCGATGATGGATCTATTGACATGGCGCTTTATAATTGGAACCATTTAGGCCATTTTCTTCCAAATTTATTCGCATTGGTGCAGATTTTTATGTGAAAATAAAGGATAGTTTTAAGAAATATTTTTCAAAACTGCCAATATTCAACTCTTAGTACTGAATACACATTTTGCATGCTTAGCCTCATTTTTACCCATTTTTGCAGATAACTCCATGGATTTGACAAGCTTTGTTTTGGTGGTCTAAGCTCACATCCTGACATCGTGGCTCACTTTTGATCTTAAATGCAGATCATCTAAACTGTGGATAGAAGTTTTGGATCCCAACTACTGTGGTTTATCAATGCTGACATGTATTTGTTTTATGGATCAATTGTGAGGTTTGCAAAAAAAAAAAAAAAAGAGAGAGAGATAACAAGTGAGTGTTTGTGAGTACTTGTGTCTGTATTTGTGTATATGCTTAAAGGATATATCATCTTCTTCTACTTTTTGATAACCAGAGCTTGGCAGGTGATCTCTCCTCTGATCTAGCTCTAACAGCTTAGTGGAAGGAAAACTGGCTGGTCACATTCAATATCTCAAAAACCAAACTAGTGACCTTCCATTATCGACAATTGGACCCAGAATTTTCACCAGTTGCAATGAACAGAATGTTCTCTCAGAGATATCCCATGCCTTGACCATATATAATGACTTAAAGTCAGCCCAGACCTCAAGCGGAACTTGTACATATGATCCATCACTAAAGATGCTGGAAATATTGTTGGTTCCCTGTACTGCTCCAGCAAGTACCTCACTCTACTTGGTATACTTCACCCTTACAAGATCAGGTCAAAAATGGTGTACTGCTACTATATATGTGCAAGAACTATGCTGTCTTTACTTTCCAAAACATAGTTCAAAGGCATCTCTCCATCCTTGTAGGTGACAAATTATTTTCCACTCTACAACCCCTTTCCCACAGATGATATGTTGCTAGCCTCTCACGACTCTATTGCTATTTCCATGGACGATGTTTAGATAAGATACATTCCTTAGTTCCACCAGTTCTAACCTTTATGGCTAAGACTCACCATTCCTTGCACATTGTAGCAAATCACCCTCATCGTCTATGTATTCCTCTGGTGAGATGTAAGTTCCACTCAAGCAGTTTCTTGCCATGAACCACTGCTTTGTTGAATCATCTCTTAAGAGGTTGCTTCCTTGATTACTACAATCTTAAACTCTTCAAGTCAATACCATTATCTTCCATTCATGTCTGCATAATCTGTGACTCTTACTCTGTAACCTGAGTGACCCTAGGGCCTTGAAGAAATTGTGAATATTTTCATTAAAAAGAAATAATTTGGGTAATTCATTCTTGATTTTTCTCTTTCACACATTTTTCTTTTAATCTCTTTACAGTTTTTGTTCACAGAATTTTGCTGTCCAGATATAAATCTCATTTCAAAAAAGCAATGGATGAGTAGGTTATCTCTTTCAATCAAAACTTCTTATCCATCATTTTCAAAATCCAAAGTAATAGCCACTATTAGAGACCATTTATAGAATCAATAAGTATAACATAATACAGTTCAGTGTCATTAAGCCATGCACTTTCTTACCTGTAACTTGAGGGACCCTCAAGCCTTGTACAGGGTGAACATAACAGTAAAATATTACTCTCCACAATTACTTGTCCTTTGTAGCTCTTAATAAATTTTGTATTTCTATTTTCTACCCTAAAACTTGTACCACCATTCATTCACTCAAGCACGCTAGGTAGCTTATGCATTGTTTTCCTCTGTTCATTCAATCTGTCCTGTGAGTATCAAATTTTCCATGCCCTTTTTCCTCATGATGTGCACTAGAAATTTAAACTATCTCTTCTTGATGTTAAGTATAAGAGCCCCTTTTGGTTGCCATTTTCTTTAAAACTTTATTGTTGCTCACATATTTGGTCAATGTTATTCTTAGTATGCTTCTGTAGAACAACATTTCTGTTGCTCTTGAAAATGAGTAAAGAATTGGCCAAAAGCGCTTGAGACAATGGACAATCAGGGTCATTTTTTCACCCCCTTACTCGCACCAAATGAAAAATATAAGAATGTTGGGAAAACTAAATAAAGAATAAACTTTACCTTGTCTGTGATATTCAATGAAACATGTTTAATAGAAAGGTTGTTGCCTAGGTATACATTAACTATATATATATATATATATATATATATATATATATATATATATATATATATATATATATATATATATGGACACAGTGAAGTAGTGCATAGCGGCTCAGACTGAAAAATAAAAATTTAAATGAAAATAAAATGGTTAAATTCAAAACAATCTATTATTTAAAATATATAAGACATAAATAAAATCATATAAATAATAATTACATCATAAATAAAAAAAAAATTCAACAACTTTCATTTATTAGACATTAAATTACATCACTTAGCTTCTTCCATAATTTATCTTGACTTTCAGTTAGATTGATGTATATTTATAAGTGTACTTAAATTTAAAAATTCTGAAAAACTTATGACATTTTTACTTCTGTTTATAAATACTTGGTGCAAAATAAAATCCTTAAATTTGCCTTGATAAAGTTCATTAGAGGACAAAACATGTCAGCTGAGATATGTTATCCTTTATTCATTATTCGTATATATATGTGTCTATATATATATATATATATATATATATATATATATATATAATCAAATCTCATGTGCTGTTGTCAGGTTGTCTGTTTCCTAGGAACTGATCTGCTTGATCCTCATACGTGGTATTTGACAGGAGAGCCGAGTATATATATATATATATATATATACAAGAAGAAATTTTTATTTTCTAAGACATAAATAAATGTAAAAGAATAAATGGTTTAGATAAAGCATATTCTATATTTTCTTCTGCATGGCTTCCAAAAAATTATAACATTAATTTAAATAATTTAATCTAATTTGTTTAATATATAATTTATGAAGCCAGAAGGTTCAGCTATTTAAAAAAAAGTGGATTGTGTCTTATCTGGGATTAGTTTATTTACTACTAAACTTGCTGCCAACTTTCTTTAATATTTTCATGCAGTTGATCCCAATGTTCAAGTTGGCTTTGCTCAAACCTCTGTACAGATGGGAAGTAGGAAAGGCACCATTTCCATCATTCTGATGCTTTGTTTTCCCTGGAGGAAAAGTGGTTGTAGCATTGTTTTAGATTGTCTTTGAATTTGACTTTGAAATACAAGAGTGACCTTCCAGCTGACCTGCTTGTTAGGAACTGTCCAAAAAGAAGTTGTTTTGGAAGATTGCTATCGTTCATATGAGAAAGATGTCCTGCTCACCTACAACTGGTTGCATAATTCAAAATAGAAATTCTCTTTAATTTCCTCACTTGACTTCATAGTAACTAAAGATGTCTGCATACTTATTTCTACCAATGAAAATACACAAGGACATAAGTCTCTCATTGATTCCAACG